CCCCCCCAAAACAAACCAAGTTGAAACAACAACATTCATTTTACTCAAGCATTTTACAAACAGCAGAGACGGGGAGATGATGTTCATTATGGCGCCTTTGAAGACCCTCAAGGTCACCAAACAAACAACAAAACATAAAACATAAAAACATAAGGAAACATAAGCAAAATGAAAAATAAAAAACAAATATGAAAGCTAAAAAAGGTAAAAATAGACTAAAACAGAATGCAATTCTGAATAGATGGGTTTTAAGGAGCGATTTAAAAGTGGAGAGAGAGTTTGTAGTTTGGAGATCTGGTGCAAGTGCATCCAAAGTTTCAGGGCAGAACAACTAAAGGCTCTGAATCCCATGATAGTCAGGTGAGCAGGTGGAACAGACAGAAGGGAAGCTGAAGAAGAGCGGAGTGTACAAGGGGGTGAGTACGTATAGATAAAATCAGATAAATATGGGGAGTGAGGTTATGAAGTGCCTTGAAAGTAATAAGCGGAAACTGGAAGCCAGTGGAGCTGTTTAAGATCTATGTTCAGTAGATCTAATTCTGGATATAAAACAATGAGTTGTATTTTGAACTAACTGCAGTTAATGTTGAAATTTATGAGGTACACCATAGAGAAGAGAATTACAGTAATCTGTAATGTGACAAGAGCATTGACAAGTATGGTGGTACTGTTTGGAGCCAGTGAAGGACAAAAGTGGTTAATATTACAATGATGAAAATATTATTTATATGTGCTTTAAGGGAAAGGGTGTCGAGGATGACTCCAAGACTCTTAACCTCTTAAGCCCCAATGCCTAGGACAGAGCCTTGGAGTACGCCGGAGTTAACTGGAGTAGATAGTGAACTGTGAGTGAGTAATTGAACAAACTGTGAACGGGGAGAGATACGAGGTAAACCAGGTGAGTGCTGTACAACTGATGCCAATAGATGTTAGTCTATGAAGAAAGATGTGGTGGGTGATAGTATCAAAAGCTTCTATAAGGTCAAGAAGAATAAGGATAGTGATGATAGAGATAGAGATAGATGATAGCGTCAGCTGCAGCAGAAGATCATTAGAGATTTTTACTAGATTCTGTACCATGAAATGAGCAGAAGCCAGACTGAAACTGTTCGTACAAGTTATTTCCAGCATGGTGTCTATGAACCTGTGCAGCTACTATCTTTTCGAGAATTTTGGCTTGTAAAAGTACATTTGAAAGTGGCCTGAAATTATTTAAATTGGAAGGGTCACAGCTGAAGTTACAGGCATTCAGAATTTAAAGGGAAAAGGGACATTTCCAAGATTTGATTACGCACAGGAAAAAATGCCCAGTGTACCTACGTGTAGGGGTATTCTTATTAAAATATTCAAAATACAAACATTTTTAGGTGTGTAAATAAAGTTAAAACATTTCTGTTGTTCAATACCAAAGAAATTTCAGCTGACAGATGGTGCAAAAAATGTGCCACATGCCAAAACGTTGGCTATTCATTAACAGTGCTGTAATCTTTCACTGCTTCACTCCAGAAGCATAAATCTTTGCACAGATAATGTTCATATGTGGATTACTGGTTTTCTGGAGTTAAATGTCTACTGAAGCACATTTTCAGAATGGTTATATGCAATAAAATCCAAAAATAAATTACACTCTCAAGTGTTAGCTCTATTTATACCAAGATTGTTTATACAGAGTGTGTAATTGCAGAGAAAAACTCTTGAACATAGTATTTTCGAGCAGGAAGCTCAGAAAGGCCTTTGGTGCTTAAAGATGCTCTCTACGGAGAAGAGATAGAAATCTCCTTTGGAAGATCAGCCTCTGACTGGCCAGTCGTCACACAGAAAAGTGATTTTCTTCTTTCTTTTTCATAGCATATACACCCATAAATGTCTGTATGCACTCATTCAGTGTCTCCTGCGGCGGATTGCAGGAGCTCCAGCATGAGATGTCGTGTGGTCACATTTATGAAGTGCTGTTTTCAGTGACCTGCTCTCTGACTTGTTTTGATTTCTCTTACATTGGAGAAACCAAACAGCCACTTCACAAGTGCATGGCACAACATAGAAGAGCCACCTCCACAGGACAAGACTCAGCTGTCCATCTGCATCTTAAGGATAAAGGACACTCTTTCGAGGATGCCAATGTTCACATTTTGGACAGAGAGGACAGATGGTTTGAAAGAGGAGTGAAAGAACCATCTATGTCCACTGTGAGCGACCATCTTTGAACAGAGGCGGTGGTTTATGACACCAACTCTCTGCCATCTATAATCCAGTTTTGAGATCCCTTCCCAGACGCCTTAATGCCCATTCACATCCTGGGCCATCTGATCTCAGGAATTCGCATGATAAGGTGGGGCCAGGTTTCACAATGAACTCACCCGAAACTCTGGCTGATTGGGACCCACACCCAGTTTCACACCTTGGCTCTGGCGATTAGAGGATCATCAGGGGGTCCTTTTGTCCCTCTGTGGGGGGACACTCCCACTAGGTTTATATCTGGGACTCTCCACCATTTGACCTTAGAACTGAAGAAGCTTCTCGGTGAGAGGTGAAACGTCTTCAAGTAACTTAAAGAAGTCCAGATGCTTTTCTTTGCAAGCTCCTTTGACTACGATGACCTGGATGACTGAGAACCTTCACAGACATTTTGATTTCTGTCCTGTTCTTCTGACTGTGCGTTTGCAATGATTAAAAAATACTTGTTGAGCACCAGTCAGCTTGTATGTGATGCACATGTGTACTAATGTGTGTTTTTGGCATTTATGAGCAGTCTGTAGGTGAGGGTGAGAGAGTCTCACCTGTGCGTGGATTCAGAGGGCAAGCATCCCAAATATCATCCAAAGTGGGCATGTTGGGTTGAGGGGTGGCTCTTAAAGTGACTTGCAGTCTAAAGCTCTTTGATTGGTCAGTGAGAGTAGAACCCTGAAGCCCTCAAGCCCATTTGTGCATGTTATATGTGTTTCTTGGTATTTATGGTCAGTCTCAGAGTCTTAGGACCATTTTCCTCTCAGATGAACTGGATGCTGCGTTTGCTACATCAAACTGTTTGAACAAATCAGGAAAACAGCAAAGACAAAAAAGTTTGAATTTGATTGATGCCATTATTTTTCTTCTTCCATGTTTGGATCCTTCTGTTTGCACTTACTGTGCAGTCAGTCAGGGGGCTTCTCCAGGCTGGAGTTACTGATAGTAACCATTGAAATAACTATAGCCACAACGCAGTGTGTGAACAGTGTCTCAGAGTAAGTCTATCAGGTGTGAGGTCTGAACACTCAAGCTTGGACAAATGCCACTGAAAAACACCTCTGTCAGTTTCTCCTCAGACTGCAGGAGGAAAATCATTCCTGAACAGGTTACAGCCTGCCCTGATCCAAACTACACAAGGTTTGGAGCTGACCTCACCTGCATGTTAAACGCAGGTAGGCTGATGGTCTGATACTACAGAGAAAACTATTACAGCAATGAAAATGAATAATTTAATTGGCCTGAACACCTTAATAACCCAGCACATGGGGCGGCCGAGACTCACTCACCAAGACTGACAGGAGGAACAATCTCCGCCCTCTGCACATGCCCCGCCTCATATAAGTCAACCTGTTTCCACTGAGATCTGTGGTGATTTATGTAATAGTTTTCATTGTTGTTGTTTTTTTTGTTTGTTTCAAAAAGTTGACAGCGATGAACGAACATCAGACACAATCAGAAGCTGAGAAGTGAAGTCGCTGTTTTTTTCTCTACAGGTGACAATGAGCAGAAAGGTAGGGACGGCTCTCCTCTGTGTGTGTGTGTGTTTGTGTGTGTGTGTTTGTGTGTGTGTGAATTCGGTCTTTGTGGTAAATCTTAATACCAGCTCATTAAACCATTAAATATAATGAAATTACTTTGAAATGCAATGAGAAAAAGCTTCAGATTTTTGTGTAACTCTCACAGAAACTTGAACCTGAAGCCTGTGAAACAAAAATGTATTTATTTCTACTGAAACACAGAAAATAAAACTGTGGTTAGGACTTATTCTTTTATACAAACAGAATATATTTCAAGTTACACAGAGCTCAAACTGACTAAGATAAGAAAAGGTTACTGAAACCTTACTAAGGCCCACACAAGTGTCTGAGTGTTTGTGGGTGAGATACTGAACTTGAAATCTTCCATCAGAGAGAGAGAGTGTGTGTGTGAACGTGTTAAAGACTGAACACTAAAATGTTTTCAGGTGATACAGAAAAAGAAATAAACTGCTGGGATTAAAAATTGTGTGAATAATGAGATTTAAAATTCCATCACATGTACTGACAATCAGCATCACACATGAGATATGTCATTTGATTAAAAAAAACTTAATTTAATTTAATCTTGGTTTCTCTGAAACATTTTGTATATTTTAAATAATCCGAATGTTACACAGAGTTTATTGGTCATTTCACATAAATCATAATGCACAGAAAATAATTGGGTTGGATGGTTGGTTGGTTGATCAGCTTTGTGATTTGGGGGAGTTTTTTAAATGTCCGCCTACTAATGGTAACTGTTTTCACATTTTAAACTATTCAGATTTAGTAGACTCTTCCTGTTTATTAATCACATTAGAAAGTGAAGAAATAATAGATAATCAATAATAATAATCACTGTAAACCAGCCAAAGTAAAACTAGGTCTTTGGTAAATGTGATCTAGGAGCTTGTATGCACCAGGTCCAAGCAGTTATGGTGTTATTTTTATGCCACTATTCTGAGCGCACGTGAAAAACATTTGAGCGCACGTTAAAAAAAATTTGCAGGTGCAAGTGTTGCATTTTGAGGAGAAATTTATTTTGAGCGAAGAAAAGCTAAATTTGAGTGAACAAAATTCATTGCTGTGTGCAAAAAATGTATTTCAGTGTTTGCTATTATCCACACATACACAATAGCAGCGCCTCTCGCTCAGTTTTTGTATTTGCGCTTGCATACAATGTGTTGCTTGCACTCTCAACATTTCTGCCTGTGCACGTTCAACTCTTTCTGTACACTGTTATATTTGTGCCACAAAACCAGCCAATCAGTTGTTTTGGTCTCCAATCAGCTCAAAATGACGAAATGCAATATTCCAGAATCCATTTCGTCCAAAACTCAAACGAGGCAGTGGCAGAAAAACACAGAGTGGCGGAGTTTGAAATATTACTCTTTCTGGGTCACAAAATAAACTTTTAAGATATTTTCATGCGAGAATGGTGCTGTGTAAACTTCAAATATTTGCTCGACTTATCAAGACATCACATATTTGCATAAGTGCTCTAACATTTTGTTAGAGCACTTATAGCGACCAAAACAACTGATTGGCTGGTTTTGTGGCACAAATATAACAGTGTACAGAAAGAGTTGAGCGCGCACAGGCAGAAATGTTGAGAGTGCAAGCAACACATTGTATGCAAGCGCAAATACAAAAACTGAGTGAGAGGCGCTGCTATTGTGTATGTGTGGATAATAGCAAACACTGAAATACATTTTTTGCAC